TTTGATTACTTTAAGGAAAAGAGTATTGATTGGGGGAAATTATAATGTTATTGCAGTTATGTTTTTTTAAGAGTCCTTATATTTTAGAGAACATTCTAAAATAGTTACAGGTTAAATAATGTGATGTGCTTCAAAATAACATGGGAATAAGTAGGACGGTAGTGGTGGCAAGTGAATTTGGCCAGCATCCATGAGTTTTGGGACTGATGTTGAGCACATGGAGATACATTAATAGTATTTATGTAAAAAATTCTTCATAATGTTCAGGTCTTTTTAACACTTGAAGTTCTTGCTATCTTGTCCAGTCCATAACACATGGTAAGCAATTAATATGTGTTTGATTACTGAACGAATCAGAGAGGTACAGTGAGTGGTCTCTGGTTTTTCAGTCATGAAGCTATATGGGGTAGAACTGCAAAGCTTGGAGGAACCATAGAAGTCCTCTGGCCCATGAAACAGAGCACTTAGTCAACTTAGATTTACTAGTTCTACAAGTCTTAAGGGATGAGAACTTCTACGTTGTCAAAAAAAAATTGAATGAGTAAAAGTTTCCTAAAGTTGATCCTAAATTCAGAGATTTAAAAATGTCAGCAGATGAAAAACTGGAAAGAATGAAAAAAGACCATCTAAACAAAGTAAAAATGTGGTTACATAAATTAAGGTGTACGTATACAACCATCAATAATTATGATATACTCACATATTTGATAACATAGGATACTGTTTATAATCTGCTGTTAAATGAAAAAAAGTTCAAAACAAAATACAGTATGATAGTCGTCTAATTTAACAAAATCTATATATGCAGAGAAAAACATCCATAGCACATACATCACATTATTAATGAGGATTATCTAAATGTGTTTGGACTATGGATGTATACAGTTTTCTTTTTTCTACTCTGCAGTTTGTAAAATTTTGAGAAAAAAGATCATTTTTTGTAATAGGAACAAAGCTTCCAAACATAGAATGATATATAAGCAAATAATTGTACAGTCTCAGGTTTGTTATCTACACTAAGAGACGTCAGAATGTGCTTGAACAATCTGGATCAGACAGGGTTCCCTTTCCCAGGGGTTCTGTACCTTTCAGGGAGGAACTTCTCAGGCTCTGGCCAGTGTTCTGGGTCTCGTTGAAGAGCAAAGATTGGTATCATCACCAATGTCCCTTTGGGAATGATCACTCCATTGATTTCAGCATCATTTTTACAGATCCTCTCAAGTCTGGCAGTGATTGGGTATAATCTGAGTGTTTCTTTCACCACCATGTCAAGATATTCCATCTGTAACACAGCATCATATGTGGGAGTTGCCTAAGAAGAAAGAAACAGAGGTTAAAAAGTTGAGATTCAACACAGTCTAGGCAGTGCTATTGAAGTATTAGGATCTCCAAAGAATATTATATGTTGGTAAAGAACCTTAGCATTTATGAATCATTTTTATATCTACCATGTTCCTTTGATCTACTCAATAGCCCATTGAGATGTATGGAGAAGTTATGAATATGGGACACTCTTGGGAAAATCGTCTGAACAGGGCCTGAAATCCCTAGATCACCATGTGCAACTTTCTTTCTCTTGTCAACATATGTGACTAACAAACTATACCAATACTTTTAAGTAATATATGTGTAAGTTATAGTACCATTTTAAAAGAAAGGTCATGTGTATGTACCAATGTCAGAGAAAATTTAAATTACTAAATCCTCAATTTCATATAAGGCTTTGTAGTTCAGAAATACTGCTTAAAAATTATTCTGATATATACCAGCATACATAGATAATAGATAGATGATAGATAGATAGATAGATGATAGACGGATGGATGGATGGATGGATGATTGAGTGGGTGGGTGCATGGGTGGGTGCGTGGGTGGGAGAGTAGATAGATGGATGGATGGATTGATGGATGGATGGTTGATTGATCGATGGGTGTGTGGGTGAGTGGGTGGGTAGAGAGAGAAAGAGAGATATAGGTAGGTACATAGATAGATATGTACATAGGTAGATATGTAGACAGGCAAAGAGAGACAGACACCGAGAGAGAGAAAGAGAGAATATGGAGAGAAGCCCAATATTGTCCAGAAACTCTATAAATAATTTGGGGAGAACCTTGTCTTTACTATCCCAAATACGAGAAAAGAAGGCTATGGCTGGATGGTACCAGTGCACACAATTTCAGCTCTAGGGAAAGTTATAAAGAAAGTTAGACCCCCACCCTGAGGTTATCCTCTATTGCTGGGACACTTTCTTAGTTGTCTCTTGGAGGTTGAGGTGTGTTCACCCACTGTCAAACAAGCCACTCCTGCATCACTGGCAAGGTCTCTTCACACCATAAAAAGTTCCAATCTTTCAGAGATCTGCAAAGAGTGTAGGCAATATGTGGCTATCTCTTGGTGCTGTATTTCAATGGCAATATTATACAGGTTAAGACTTTGGCTCTGGAGCCAGGCACACAGGAGCATATCTTGGATTCCTCACAACTTGCTATATGACCCTGGGAAAGTTATTCCATCTCTCTGCAACTCATTTTTTGATATGGTACGTGTAGATAATTATAGTCACTATCTTATAGGGTTGTGTGGTAGACATTCACTGCTCAAAAATATCCATTGAGTCTCCCACGTTTCCCTGGCCCTATGCAGTTAAAGAAAGCCAGGTTATTAGCTTTGTGAAGGTGCTGCGAGCTGTGGTGAGGTATGTCAATTTTAGGCCGAAGAATATTGAGAGCCAGTGTGCAGTACTGTGTCTCTTTATTCCCAACCTATGCTACCATGAAGTCTTCATGTTCCAGAGAGTGCAGCTGCAAGATGGCGGTGAAACAATCAACACTTGTGCTTTTTGCAAAATCTCTCCTTCAAAGTGGTGGGAACGCATTCTTCCCAAGTCTCTACCTTCATCCTCCCTCTTCATGCACCATCCACTCACCTTATTAGGAAAAGTTGCATCAATCTCTTTCTGCAGTTTCTGCTGAATATCAGGGTGGGTGGCCATTAAATACATAAGGAAGGAAAGAGCAGTGCTAGTGGACTCATAGCCAGCAGAAATAAAGATAATTGATTGGGCTACAAGCTCCATATCAGTCAAAGCTGAAAGGAGAGGAAATATACTTTAGGTAAAGTTGGTGTAATGTGAAAAACGTCACAGTTTAGATGAAGATAAATGCAAATGAATTTCCAAATCCCCAGGGAAATAGTGGAAAAGAAGTTCAAAGTCACACTGGGAGTAGTTTGCATTCTGATATTTATCTTACAGAGCTGGAAAAAGAAAAGAACTATTTAATCGATTTTCCCTCGGTTTATACTATTCTTGATTTCTGCTCTTGATTATGCCATCTTCACCAACACAGCTGGGTAATTTCAAGAGATAGCACTTCCATCTAATGTACAAAGTATTATAGGTATCACCCTTGAAGTATCCTAAAAGTACTTTAGTTACAAGTCAAATATTAAGAGTTTTCTTCCCCAAGAAAAATTTTAATTATTCTAGATAAAGTATACATTAATTATTTTTTAAAGTTTGCTATACTAGAGCTTCATGGTAGGGAAAATTAAAGGTGTTTTCATGTAAACACATTTAGGGAAACTTAAGGGAACAGTATTGGGCTACAGACAAACTCTTACTACTTAAAGTGTGATTCATAGACCAGCAGTACCGACATTACATCTGAGCATTTTAGTAAATTGCAATCTCACACTCCACCTAAAAACTACTGAATTCAAATCTGCGTTTTAAAATAATCCCTAGGTAATTTGTGTACACAGTCTAGCTTTAAAGATATGGATTATACCATTGAGAGGCACCAGGTAGTAGAAGACCTGAAGTACAAGTCTTCAGGATAATCACAGATATGCACAGGAACTACAGAGATAAACAACAAGCTAGAAGAGTGGAGATTGACCCTTGTGAGGTGATGAGTCACCTGGTAAAAAGTAATTTGACCTTTGTTCTTGGTTCCTGAGAGCTGGACCACACGTGAGGCTAAGGAAAGGGGGATCACAAGACTAAGAGGGACCACGCAGGGGTCTGATGTTGACTAGTCTCAAGAGGCATGATGTAATCTATCATGAACAGATGAGGAGACCAATAAGACTCTTGAAAATGGAGGAACAGAGAAGCTTCTTGGTTGGTGACAGTGGATGGCCCTCTTTGGAACATGGAAGCCCCACGCTGGTACCCCTCCTGAACTTTACTCTATGCATCTATTTGTTTGTATCCTTTCTGGTTGTAATATAACTTTAATCATAAGTATGGAAAACTCTGAGATTTTCTGAGATGTTCCAACATATCATCAAGTCCCTTGTGGCAGTGAGAGCCAGTAGTGGCTGAAATCTCTTTCTAATTTGTGTGCTCTGTCACCTTGAGTCAGAATTGACCTGACTTCTGTGGGTTTCGGTTTTTTGGGGTAACCTACCTCTGGTTGGCCACAGCAGAGAAATGCTGCATGGAAAGCTGGTCTGAAAGAAACTGTCCTTCTAACTTGTGAGCTCTGACCCACATGTGGCCTATAAGGTTGGATATAGAGCGTCACATGAGTGGCTAGTGAAGAAGATGAAGAATGGGAAAGTGAGGACTGAATCGATTTCAACATTTTGGGAATTGAATTCATGTTAATCCTTAGCATTCAGTTGGCCGAAAGGTGATATTTACCCACATTGCCCTTACTTAGTGCAAACTAATCTAATCATTGGAAACCCTCATGGCATAGTGGTTAAGAGTTATGTCTGTTAACCAAAAGGTCAGCAGCTGGAATGCACCAGGCTCTCCTTGGAAACTCTATGGGGCAGTCCTACTCTGTCCTATATAGTCGCTGTGAGTCAGAATCCATGGCATTAAAATAACACAAGAATGAATGTGTCAATAGATGGTCATTGGCCACCATGAAGTGTGGAAAAATAGGGTCCAATAAGTAGAATTAGTAATGATTATTCAATCATGGCCTAAAGGGCATCTTCCTCAGGACATGTCCCCTCTATTTGCTCTGTTTATGCCAATCAGACAGCCCTTGTGATTATGAGTGATCCTCCCTCTTAGTGTTTCTTCTAAGAGACACTAAGCTTTGTGGAGGTCTAGTCTGTTGATTGGGGCTAGATTAAAACCTTAGGTACCTGGAGCACTCAAATAAACATGGTGCCTGTCCCCACCTTGTAATTCATACCTAAAAACAATATTAAATGAGTCCAACTAAGGTCTACAGAGTTCCAAATTCCAAACGATACTGTGATACAAATGATTCTGTGATACTGTGGTGGGTAAATATAAATCTCAAATTCTTTCCTCCAGTTAGAATGTACCCCACGATATGGGAGTGGAATTGGGGTAAAACTAAAAGTTTAGAGCTATGTTTTACAATACTATGCAAATGTGGCTATTTGAACTTAAATTTTAATTAATTAATATTAAAGTTAAAAATTCAGTTCTTCAGTGACACTAGCAACAAATGAAGTACTCAATAGACACACTCATCTAGCAGTTACTGCATACAATAGTGCGTGTGTATATGTGTGTGTGTGTATATATATATATATATATATGTACCCGTTGCCGTTGAGTTGTTTCCAACTCATAGCAACCTTATAGGACAAAGTAGAACTGGCCCAAATAGTTTCCAAGGAGTGGCTGTTGGATTTGAACAGCTGACCTTTAGGTTAACAGCCAGGCTCTTAACCACTGTGCCACCAGGACTCCATATACGATAGCACAGACAGGGAATATTTCCTTCATCATTGAAAGTTCTTTTGGACCTTGTAGACAGATACAAAGATAGAAATAGAAAGAGATACAGAGAGATAAGGAGATATATCATACATAGATAGGTGACAGATATAGATGATAGATATAGATTGTGATAGTTAATGTTATGTGTCAACTTGGCTAGGCCATTATTCTCAATATTATGAAATTATCCTCCATTTTGTGATATAATGTAATGACCTTCATGATGTGATCTGAAATGATCAACCAATCACTTTTAAGGGGAGTTTCCTTGGGGTGTGATCTGCACCCAGTAAATGTACGGATGCTCTGGCAAAGCTCACTTGCTTGCTCTGGATGCTGCTTCTGGCTCATCATCAACTGACCTTCAGTTCTTGGGACTTTAGCCCACAGCCTGCCATATGATCTGCCAATTCTGGGTTCATCAGCCCCTGAAGCCACATGAATCAGCAGAAGCCTCCAGCCTATACCTGACCCACAAACTTTGGGACTTGCCAGTATCCACAATAGCATGAGCCATTTCCTTCAAGCAAATGTATCTATCTATCTATCTAAATGCTTCACTGGATTTGCTTCTCTAGAAAACACAGCCTAAGACATAGATGATAGATAAATGATAGATGATAGATAGATAGATAGATAGATAAATGCAGATGTATGCATAGATATAGGTTTATTTACAGTGATGCACTTAAGTAAGCTCATTCCTCTTATCTAGACCCATTTGTTAAATATTCAGGAATTTTGTGAAATGATTGTCAAGCCATTGCTAAATTGAAGTGAACCTGATGGAGCTATTTATGTCAGGGAAATAGACTATTAATTAAGACTTTTTTTTTTTAAAGAGATCTAGTTTACATCACTGTAAATGGATATATATTTATATATGTAAGTTTCTCAGATGTGTGTCAGTATATTTTTTTTTCATAATTTTGTCTGTGAGAGGATCTAAGGACAAAGAAACCCCAGTGTCAATGAGCACACCTAACCCCCAGATTTTGGTTTCTAGATACCATTTCCTAATAAACGTAAAAAGGGTCCTTGGAGAAATGACTGATTTCAGGGTTATCTGGTGAAATAGAGAAATATGGAATATCCTATGCCAGTAAACAAAGAAGTACTCAGAAAATGATAGTCATATGAGAAGGATGCAGCAGTCTCTTTGGAAGAGCTGCCACTGTCATCTGGGGTCTTAAAAGCTTGCAAACTGCCATCTAAGATGCATTAGTTGCTCCCAACCACCTGGAGTAAAGGAGAATGAAGAACACCGAGGACACAAGGAAAATAGTAGCCCAAGAGACAGAAAGGACCACATAAACCAGAGACTTCACCAGACTGAGACCAGAAGAGCTAGATGGTGCCTGGCTACCACAAATGACAGCACTGACAGGGAACACAACAGAGAGTGACGGAGCAGGAGAAAGGTGGGGTGCAGAACTCAAATTCTAGTAAGAAAACCAGACTTAATGGTCTGACTGAGACTGGAGGTACTCCAGAAAGCATGGCCCCTGGATTCTCTACCAGCCCAGAACTAAAACAATTTCCGAGGCCAACTCTTCAGACAGGGATTGGACTGGACTGGACTGTGGGACATAAAGTGATACTCGTGAAGAGTGTGCCTCTTAGCTCAAGTAGATACAAGAGACTAAACTGGTAGCTTCTGTCCGGAGGTGAGATGGGAAGGCAGAGAGGGTTAGGAGCTGGTTGAAGGGACATGGGGAAGGAGGGGTGAAAAGGAGAAGTGTGCTGTCACTGTGTGAGGAGAGCAATTAGAGTTACATAACAGTGTGTGTGTTTAAATTTTTGTATGGGAAAAAATAAAAAAAGAAAGAGCTGCCACTGAGCAAACCTGAGACAGTATGAGCATCAAACTAAATCATGGTAGAGTGAGAGTAAAGTAATACTTTATAAACCTGTTCAAATGTAAATAAATAAATGAGAGAGAAGTAAAGTTCTCCCTTATTGTGGAATACCAACTCATAAATGTGGAAGGAAGGGTAGAAATAGAAAATCACTGTTTTGCAACCATAATATAAAAATTTCCTTCACTCTATAATCAATGGATAATTAAAGAAGTAAGCAAAAGTTTAAAAACAAGATAATCACATAGTCTCAAAGGCTTTCCCAACAAATTATTAACAATAAATAAAACTTTACATGAGATTAAGCTATTGAACACAACTTTAACTAAGACTTTCAAGTTGACATCACAAGTATTGGGACAAAGTACTTCCTGATGTGATGACCTGATGCAAATTTCCAGGCAGGAGTTCTGACTTCAGGTTCTAGGAGCAGCCTGAAAATCTACATTTGCAAAAATCTCCTAGGAGTTCTGATGTGGGTGATCCACAGAACACTGACTGACTTCTGTGCACAAAATGCTTATTGAATGGTTGCCCTTCAATCTTTGAACAATGTTATGTCTGCTTACTTCTAGATAATACCTCTGGCTATCATTTATAATTTCTGAAGGTGTCTCTTTCTTTAATTGGACAGAAATTCTCATGTGCCTGGAAAACTTCTTGCACAGTTTCAG